TCTAAAGAATCTGAAAGGGAGCCATACATGTTGGTACATGCCTGCAATCCCAGAATCTCAGAAATAGATATAGGAGGATAAGAAACTCCAACTCACCACTATTATCTTCAGCTACATAGTAAGTTCAAGGTCAGGCTGGATACATAAGACACTGACTGTCTCAATGTAAGCAAGCAAGCAAGCAAGCAAGCAAACAAACAAATAAAACAACTTCTCAAACAAGCAAAAAAGTTATAAGGAAAAACATGAATTCACCTACAAAGCAGAAACATCAGAATTAACATCAGACTAATGGCTCAACAACCCTAAATGCCTGAAAATAGCCATGAAACATCCCTGTACAATAAAGACACTTCTGGAGGCATCAACATCCCTGATTTCAAGCTCTATTACAGAGCTATAGTCCTGAAAACAGCTTGGTATTGGCACAAAAATAGACAGGTAGACCAATGGAATCGAGTTGAAAACCCTGATATTAACCCACACACCTATGAACACCTGATTTTTGACAAGAAATCCAAATTTATACGATGGAACAAAAAGAACATCTGCAACAAATGGTGCTGGCATAACTGGATGCTGGCATGTAGAAGACTGCAGATAGATCCATGTCTATCGCCATGCACAAAACTTAAGTCCAAATGGATCTAAGACCCCAACATAAATCCAGCCACACTGAACCTATTAAAAGAGAAAGTGGGAGATACCCTTGACGGAACTGGTACACAAGACCACTTCCCGAACATAACAACAGTAGCACAGACACTGAGATCGATAATTAAGGCTTCTCTAAGGCAAAGGACACAGTCAGCAAGACAAAACAGCAGCCCACAGAATGGGAAAAGATATTCACCAACCCCACACCCGACAGAGGACTGATCTCCAAAATTTACAAAGAACTCAAGAAGGTAGTCTCCAAAACATGAAATAATCCAATAAAAAAGTGGGGTACAAAACTAAATAGACAATTCTGAATAGAGGAATCTAAAATGGCTGGAAGACACATAAGATAATACTCAATATCCTTAGCCATCAGGGAAATAGAACTCAAAACAACTCTAAGATACCATCTTACACTGGGCTAAAATCAAAAACACCAATGACAGTGTATGCTGGAGAGGATGTGGAGAAAGGGAACACTCCTCCACTGCTGGTGGGAGTGGAAACTCGTATAGCCACTTTGGAAATCAATATGGTAGTTCTTCAGGAAAATGCGAATGAATCTACGACAAGATCCAGCAATTCCACTCCTAGGCATATACCCAAAAGAAGCACATTCATACAACAAGGACATCTGTTCAACGATGTTTATAGAAGCATTATTTGTAATAGCCAGAACCTGGAAGCATCCTAGATGCCCCTCAACTGAAGAATGGATAGAGAAAATGTGGTACATTTACACAATGGAATCTTGAAATTCACAGGCAAATGGATGGAACTAGAAGAAAGCATTCTGAGTGAGGTAACCCAATCACAAACAGACAAACATGGTATGTACCCATATATGGATATTAGACCTAGAGCAAAAGATTATCAGCCCACAATCCACACACCGCCAGAGAAGCTAGGTAACAAGGAGGACTCTAAGAGAGACATAAATGGTCCCCCAGAGAAGTGGAAAGGGACAAGATCTCCTGAGCAAATTGGGAGCATGGGGAGAGGGGAGAGGGAGCTAGGAGAAAGAGAAGGGGAGAAGAGGACATGAGGGATCAGGGAGGTTGAGTCTCGGGGAAGAATAGAGGAGAGCAAGAAAAGAGATACCATAATAGAAGACCCACAACTAATCACTGAACTGAACTGGAATCCAGTTGCAGAGGACGAATGATGAGCAAAGGGGACAAGACCAGGCTGGTAAAACCCACAGAAACAGTTGACCTGAACAAAGGGGAGCTCTTGGTCCCCAGACTGATAGCTAGGAAACCAGCACAGGCCTGATCTGGACCCCAGGAACGTGGGTCTCAGTGAGGAGACCTAGGAAATCTATGGGGCCTATTGTAGTAGATCAGTACTTATTCCTAGCACAGGTGTGGAATTTGGGAGCCCATTCCACATACAGGCATACTCCCTGAGCCAAGACACAAGGGGGTGGGCCTAGGCCCTATCCCAAAGGATATGATGGACTCTGATGACCCTCTGTGGAAGGCCTCACCCTCCCTGGGGAGCCGAAAGGGTATGTTATAGGTAGGGTTTTAGTTGGGGGAGGGGAAGGGAGGGGGGAGGGAGAGGAAACTGGGATTTATATGTAAAAGAATCTTGTTTCTAATTCAAATAAAAAATGGAAAAAAAAGTAAATTTTCATTTAAATTAGAAACAATCTTATTTTACATATTAATCCTAGTTTCCTCTCCCTCCCATCCTCCCATGCACCCTCCCATCCCATCTCCCACCCACTCCCCAGGGAGGGTGAGGCCTTCCATGGGGGAATCATAAAAGTCTGTCATCTCATTTGGGGCAGGGCCTAGGGCCTAAGAGTGTATCCCTCCATGGGGAACTGGCTCCCAAAATCTACTCATGCACTAGGGATAAATACTGGTTCCACTGCCAAAGTCCCTATAGACTGCCCAGGCCTCCTACCTGACACCCACATTCAGGGTACCTGGTCTGTGGTCCTATGTTGGATCCCCAGCTGTCAGACTGGGGTCCATGAGCTCCTACTTGTTTAGGTCAGCTGTTTCTGTGGGTCTATCCAACATGGTCTTGACTCCTTTGCTTATCACTCCTCCCTCTCTACACTGGATTCCAAGAGTTCAGCTTAGTGCTTAGCTGTGGGATCCTTCCAAAATTTCAATGATAGGCACTTCTATGGCTACTAAGTAATTTGCTCTCCAAATCAAGCCAAAAAGAAAGTCCTAAGTAACTTTTTGTCTCCATGGAGATCAGCATCAGAATAAAATAAAATAACTCTTCAGGTCACTTGTATAACTCTTTACATGTGTCCCAAGTTTGTACTTATGCATCTTGGTGTAAATGGCCATTGATTCCTTAGTCTACATCTAAAATCTGTATGTGGTCTTCCTACTTTAGATGAGTAGACTGCCAGACTGCAGAGCTGGGAGGTCCTGAGCTCTTAGTTAAGCTGTTCTATAGAAGAGGACTGGGTTTTGCCCGTGTTTGCCTTAGTTTAGCTCTAGACCAGTGGTTCTGAACCTGTGAATCATGACACTTTTGGGGATGACCATTTCACAGGGATTGCATATCAGAATCTATATTATGATTCATAACAGTAGCAAAGCTATAGTTATTAAGTAGCAACAAAAATAATTTTATGGTTGGGGTCACCACAACACGAGGAACTGTATTAAAGGGTTGCAGCATTAGGAAGGTGAGAACTACTGTTCTAGACAGAACAGAGATTACCACAGAGAATATCTTGAGGAGACTTTATCTTCCTGGCCCTGGGATAGAATGTTTGGTATTACCTCATCTTGCAACTCTTGAAACTCTTTTAGGACACAGTGCCCAAATGTACTTTCACTGAATTACAGGATTATGCTAATTTTGGCTGCTATTATGAACTATTATATACTAGATGACATGTAAATATAAAGTCAAAGTTATGAATCAGGAAGCAAGAGGCTATGTCTCCCAATTACTTCATAGATGGGAGTTGGAGATAAGCTGATCACTCACTGTGTAACTGATAATCGGGTTTATCCACATAGCAAAGCTCCAGGATAAAATAACAGGAAGTAAACATCTCTCACTGTGCTGGAAGCTGGAAGCCTGAATTCACAGTGGCAGCGCAGTTGGGATCAGATGAGTATTTTCTTCCAAGCTGCAAATCTGTATATGCACATGGTAGGAGAGCTGGCTCTCTGGCTTCTTGTAGTGAGGGAGATAACCTGATTCACAAGGATGACACATTCATGACCTAATTATTTTCTCAGTATCCATAACTAAATACCATCACATTAGGGGTTAGATTTCAATAGAGGAAATATGAGTAGTCAGTCTAGAACAAGGCCACACTGAGATACTGTTTCTGAGCCACTTAGAAAATCTTCATCTGACTAACAGTTTTTTTCTTTTTTTGGACAATGGGGTGTTTATTTGGAATGCTATGTAGAGATGTATATTAGCTTTTGCTTGGAGCTATAGCATGGGAAAGATCATGCAAAGTAAAAGCAGAATTTAGGTTACCTAAAAACTACAAGGCCATGAGCCACATATTTTAGAACAGAAGAGACACTGGACAGAGGCTGGGGTGATGGATCAGTAGGTGAAGCACATGCTATACAAGTGTGAGGACCTGAGATTGAGTCCCTGGAACTCACTCAATACTAATACAGAGGCATGCATCTGGAATCTCAATGGTCCTAGAGCAAAATTGGAAGAATCCCCAGAAGCTCAAGAGCCAGCTGACTTAGTATACACAGCAGCAAAATATAAGACTCTGCATGAAGATGGGAAGCATGGACTGACACCCGAGGACCCCCACATACATACACCCACACAAATGTGCACATGCACTACACACAGACATGAAAGACAAAGGGACTAAATAATAAATGAGGTGGGGCGTGACAGAGAGAAAAACACCTAATTTTGACCACTGGCACATATGGGCACATGCACACACATATGTGTATTCACACACAAAGAGAAACATTGCTAAAGATGACATCATCCCAACACAAAATCAATACTTAAGCAGTTGGTTGGGTGTGGTAATGCACACCTTTAATTCCATACTCAGCAGGCAGAGGCAAGCAGATCTCTGTGAGTTTGAGGCCAGCATGGTCTATGCAGAGAGTTCTAAAGCAGCCAGGGCTACATAGACTCTGTCTCAAAAAAAAAAAAAAATCAAGCAGTTATGCTACAATAATAAAATCAGAGGGATATAAGCTGATCATTGTCTACCACTGCTTGATAAATCAGTGGTGTCCTCACAGCAAAGCTTAAGGATATAATTCAGGAAATAAACAGACTAAAACATTAATATGCGGTCTATTGTATAAAACTATTTATACCCACATTCTATTAAAGATGGTCAGGAAAGGCAGGGTGTTGGTGGCGCACGCCTTTAATCCCAGCACTCGAGAGGCAGAGGCAGGCAGATCTCTGTGAGTGAGAGGCCATCCTGGTCTCCAGAGCGAGTGCCAGGATAGGCTCCAAAGCTACACAGAGAAACCCTGTCTCGAAAAACAAAAACAAAAACAAAAAGATGGTCAGGAACATTTCCTAGGCTGGTAGTGGAAAGGTGGAGAAGGGAGAAGAAACAATTTATAGGAAAAATGACTTCTATACTCCTATTATGGTAGCTCTGGTTTTTCCTCTCACCATCTCCCTTATCACCAGGGGAACACAGGTATTACAGACATATGCTGTCATGCCAGGTTTTACATGGGTTCTGGGGATTTGAACCCAGTTCTTCACACTTGCACGGCAAGTACTTACCCACTGACACATCTCTGCAGCCTCTGGGTGTCTGTATATGTAATAAATATATATAGGAATGCTTCAATTAAAATAATGAGCACATCCATCAAACATATTTGTTTTATTACTGGGCCATAAAAATGACTTAGCAAACCTAAAACACACATGGTCACCCAAATGTTCTCTTCTTGTTTTAAGTGAACTCTGTATCCTTTGACCAACATGTCCTCATGTCTATCACCTGCACCCCATCCCACCTTCTGGTAACTATTATTCACTACTTCTATTGAGTTCCATAATTGGGAGATTCTACATATACGTGAGATAAAACAATAGTCATTTTTCTGTATTCAGCTTACTTCATCTAGCATAATGTCCTCCAGGTTCATTCATACTTAAGTACATGGTCAACTTTTCCTTCTCTAGTAAGGCTACATAATATTCCAATGATGGAATCTTTGACTGCACTCTCAGATGTGTTTACAATCACATACAGCTTGAACATGGGGTGTGCCAACTTAAGAATGCCATCATAACTTGCCATCGATAGATAAAAAGGTTCACAAGGCCCTACCCCTAGCTAAGGAGCTACTGGCGGTTGGCAGCTTCTGGGGAAAGTTGAATAAGTAAGTTTTCTTCCAGGGGAATGAATGGTCCCAGTAGGTTGACTACAATCCAGTGGTGGCTTCACACCCATGTGCATTTTATGAGCACTAATTTTGGATTTTGGCTTCACACACACACACACACACACACACACACACACACACACACAAAGAGAGGAGATGAAGTTGGGAGGAGATTGGGGAGTATCTAGGAGGAGTTGGAGACAAGGAGTGGGTAGATATGACCAAAATACATTGTATACATGTATGAAAATCCCTAAAGTAATTTTAAATGGAAAACTTGTAGAAGGGTAGCCAGAGAGTAAAATGGGGTTCAGTCCTGTAGGGGCTTACTAGCTAATGACTGGCCTTTCCCGCTGTGTGACATCAGAAACCAGTGAGGTGCTATAACGCCTTGTGCAGAACAAGAAATGCATCAATTTGAAGGATGCGACTTTAAAAACTTTTTAGATGAAGAATTCAAGTCCCAAACAAGGACTTCTGATAAAGCACATGATCTGAACAGAAAGCAGGTCATAGGGTTTTATATACTGGATGCCAGATGGCTACAGATGTGGACCTAGGTTTTCTAGATACACAGATGTAAAGAGGGAAATGTGATCCTTAAAAGACTCATGGCATCACTTAAATCAAACTCAACTAACTGCTCAGAAAAACTGGCCTTTTCCCTGACATGAACCTTTCCCGGGAAGGATTCCATGTCATAACTGGCCTTTCATTTCAATGCTATCCTAACATGAAATACAAGATTTATGGAAAATGTTTCTTCCTCTCACTGTGAGTACAGTTAAACGAAAGCCATTTGTCTTCTCCCATTCACCATCACCCCGAAACTGCTCAGTGTACATATATATATGGTGCCAATGTGTTTTATTTATTATTTTGCTATATGACATGTTATTTATTATTTCCTTTCCTACCTTCCTATCTCCTTCCCTTCTGTCACAGGGTCTCTAGCCCAGGCTGGCCTTGAGCTCCTATGTAGCCAAGGATAATAGCCAAGGATAACTTCGAATTTCTAATCCTCCTGCCTCTACTTCTAGAATGCTGGCATTAAAAGCATGCATTATCACAGCAGGTTTATGGGGTGCTAGGCCTCAGGAATTCTATACAAGCATTCTACTAATTGAGATATATACATTCTAGCTCTTTCTAAAAATTTTATTTTTCTTTTAGAAACAGGATCTCACTATGTAGCCAAGGCTAGCTTTGAATTTTGAGTGATCCTCTTGCCCCAAACTCAACCTTGAGTGCATCTGTCATAGGGATCCACCATCATGCCCACCTTAGGGCTATTTACTGTTTGCATGTCAGTATACTTTACAAATATTAATCTTAGTTTTATTTCATTTTATTTTGTCCATGACGGTACAACTAAAAGAAGAAAGTAAGAGAAAGATAATGTTATGGGGCACTTTCACATCTCACTATCATTCTTCACTGGATCAAAAAATACAATACTTGCAATATATGTTTATTCATTCAACAATCATGAATGGAGCCAGTCGCAACAGGAAAAATGAGTCAACAATAAAACACACACTAAGGATAACAGCAACAGCCAACGTGATACAACTGACCTTCTAGTGGGCAGAGAAGAGCAAAAAACATAGCAAAGTAATTAAGTATACAAAAAGAACAAAATACAATTTTCAAAAAGAATCCTAAATAGCAGGTTAAGAGGAAATGTTTGGATGTGGATTACCATTTAAGACATAGGCCAAACTGTAAAATGACATTTAATAGCCAAGGGTCATTGTCACACTGTGACATGATTAGAAGAATAGTAATTGCTGTTATCTGCCATGAAAAAATACTGAATATGAAGGCATACAAAAGGTGTACAAGTTCAATTTAGAGCCTGGGTCGAGCCTTGTGCAATTTTATCAATCAATCGGCAAAGAGTGAAGAGATGTATATTAGTTAATTCTCCACGGCTGTGAAGAATGATTAAGAAAGACAACTGAAAAGAAGGAATGGTTTATTCTGGTTCAGTTTCAGAGGTTTCACTCTATAGGCACTGGTCCTGTTGTTCTGGGTCTATGGTGACAAAGTACATCATGGAAGGAACACACGGCCAGGAGACCTGTTTGACTCATGGCAGTCAGGAAGCATGAGAAATGGGGCCAGACTGACATCCCACTAGTCTTCAAGAGCATGTCAAACATGGATTAATTTCCTTCTACTTGGCACCAGCTCCTAATGGTTCCACCATTACTGCCTCCCAGTAGCACCACAGCAGAAGAAGAAGCCTTCAAGACATGGACCTTTAGCAACAATTCAAGATCCAAATTATGATAAGGATGGACATGGTTGAAGAAATAAAGAAATTGATGATACATGAAAGAAATGAGCTGCTTGAAGATATGCATGAAAACCTAGAGGTAAAATGTTATCAGGTAATGTTCATTCCTTATGATCCATCCAAAAAACATTGTTTCCTTGTCTTTCCAGCCCCTGAATACAGGTTAGCTTTCGCTGAAGAAAATAGTATGAAGAAGTAAGTTGCCCTTTTTGCTTCCCCTTTTGGTCATGCAGAAGAGGCACAAATAGGCCTATGGAACACAACCCACCCAGACTTAGGGCTTACAAAAGTGAAAATATGTTTTACAAAAGTGAAAAAGCATCCAGAAATGACATTCAGAGTTGGAAAAGGGAAACCAGTAAGACTTCCATAGATAATCTTCAAGTAGGGACTCACTTACTAACAAGATTTGGAGTCCCATTGCCTACTTGCTCCAAACTGCCATACATGGACACCTATAGTTCCTACAAAATGTTTTAAAATGGGAGTTTATATGCTTAAACCAAAACTTTTGCTAAAACGTATTTAAGAA